TGCTTTCTCTCTCTCTCGTTCCCTTCTTCCCCAGAGGTTTTTTTGGGGGAAAGAAGGGAACTGGTTTTCCTCATTACCTGGAATAATGGAGGGTTAATTATTGGAGAAGTCATCTGCATTTCACTTCTGTACTGATGTACTGTCTCCTTTCTGTCTGTCTTGTCTTTGTGGATGGATACAAACAGACGGCATGTCCATTTTTCCCAGAGTTAAGGAGGCAAATAGCTTTATAACATACTGGGATCCTTTGCATTAATTATGATATTTTTGAACTGCAGTGTTAGTCCTTATTATTTCTTCCTCTTTTGTACTCTCAGATTAGAATTCTGCAGTGTTACTGTCTTTTTTTCAGTTTGTACATCTTCAAATGTGGCTGACTGAAGACCTGACAAAAGGGAGTTTTCAGTAATTACTAATCTAATGCCTTTCTTTTTACAGATCTCTGTTAGTGGCATAGAGTGGGATTACATTGCTACACAGGGCCCTTTGCAGAATACATGTCAGGATTTCTGGCAGATGATCTGGGAACAAGGGATTGCCATTATAGCTATGGTGACCGCAGAGGAAGTGAGTATAAACTGAATAAGGTTTCTCCCAGAAATTCAACAATGATTTTGTTATCACCAGAGATAAATATCTAGTGACCTCTTTGCCATTCTGTCTTGTGTTCCTTGGCAGAAAGAGGTAAATTTGCAAACTCCTCTGCTGGAAAGTTGGTTTACTCTGTAAGAAACCATAACACTGTGGTAGTTCTTAATGGAGGAGGGGTGCAGTGTTACAGGAGCATTAGCTGTATCAGTGTTCTCCTGCGTCTTGTTAAGCAAGTGTTTTACTTTTAAGGAGAGTGGGCGAGAAAAAAGCTTCAGATACTGGCCACGTCTTGGTTCAAGACACAACACAGTAACGTATGGAAGATTTAAGATTACCACACGATTCCGCACTGACTCAGGCTGCTATGCGACTACAGGTTTGAAGATCAAACATCTTCTCACAGGACAGGAAAGAACAGTTTGGCATCTGCAGTACACTGACTGGCCAGAGCATGGCTGTCCAGAGGATTTAAAGGGATTTCTCTGTAAGTTGTATTTAATAGCTTTGTTTTGGGGTTGGAATTTTTTTTTCCTTTTTTAATACCTCCTAAAATGATTGCTATATGTGAATTAGCTTTTGATAAGTAGGCCAAGCATTCTGCTATAAAAGGTTTCTTCATATCAGCAGGAGATACTGAATTATATTTTTGGCAGGAATATATCTGCCAGTTTGTTAAAGTGACTGTTTATGTCTAAAGCCAAATATTGAATTTATTAAGAGTTCATATAGATTAAAACATCATAACATCACATACTACACATTTAAGTATGCCCCAGCAGAAGCAAGATGTCAATTATCTGCCTTTATTGGGCATAGGGGAACAAGGCAAGGAAAGCTGTATGAAACTTAGATGGTTTTTATAGATCTGTATTGCTTTGGTTGGAATATGACTTGTGATTTACAGTGCATCATGTTTCTGTGGGATGTCATCTGTTCAATGACTACTTTCCTGGTGGTCATACAGTGTAATAGCATGGCTTATGGGGCTTCATCTCCTCAATTTATTATTCTTATCTTGTTGAACTTAATAGCATACCTGGAAGAGATACAGTCAGTGCGGCGCCATACGAACAGCACTGCGGATCCTAAAAACACTAATCCGCCCGTACTGGTGCATTGCAGTGCAGGTGTGGGACGAACAGGAGTGGTCATACTGTCAGAGATCATGATTGCCTGCTTGGAACACAATGAGGTGATCTCTCTTTCTTTCTCATGCTTTCAATTATATTAGGTAGTAGAAACGTAAATAACCTGCCTAATAAATGTTTTATGGCTGTTCATCTGAGCTTTCCTGAGACGTGGCCTCTGGAAGAGGTCTTACAATGATGGTTGAAAGAGCTCTTGGTAATTCAACAGAAGTTAATAATCTTTTAGAGTTGCCCACTTACACACTGGGTGCTGGAATGTTCATTTGGGTTCTTGACTCCATAAGGTGTTGAGTCGCTGAGTGGAACAAGGTATGCCCTAGGCTGGTAAGCTTATTTCAGGATTTCACTCTGACTTTAGAACTTATACTTCAGGCCTTGGTTTTAATGGATAATATTCAAAAACATGCTTTGTAATCAGTCTCTATGCTTGTTGTTAAATATTTTGTTCCTAAGTGTAGTGTATTTGCTGTATTAGTCTCAGCAGAGCACAAAGTGATAGTTTAATAAAACCTGCTCTTGTCAGCTTTTGGCCAGAAGTGAACAGCTGTAAAGTGTCAGTTAATATTATAAGATGATGGCTGAGACTTCACAGACTGATTGTTTCATTGTGCATCCCTGTCCTAACACTGTGGCAGGCTTGCAGCTGTTAGATCTGTGAAGACCCATATACCCCATGAGCTGTAACAGAACCCCAAGTTGTAAGGTAATGCATATTTCACAGATGAGGAGGTAGGCGTGGTCAGTGGTGTAGTGCAGCCCATACTGCAGGTGTGGGCAACGAATTGTCAGAGCTGAAATTAGATCACTGGTAGTGCTCTGAAATGCCTGTTGAGAAAATGTAAGCCAGTCTCCTTGCTCACCAGTCACTTGTAATGGTCTGTTCTCTTCTTCCAGATGCTGGACATCCCCCGAGTGCTGGACATGTTGAGGCACCAGAGAATGATGATGGTGCAGACGCTGTCACAGTACACTTTCGTCTATGGAGTTCTCATTCAGTTTCTCAAAAGTTCTAGACTTATATAATCCCTGCCACTTCCTAAGGGACACTGCAAGAGGTTACAGAAATAAAACCACAATTGTCCAGGCAGAGCTGCTCTCACTGGTGTTTTCTTCATATGATGAATCACACAGTTACCGTGTAGGGCTGGTATGTGGCTTCAACACGAGTCAGTGTAACAGTCCCTGCAAAGCAGGGTCTTTGCTGGGCTAAATTCTTCCTGTGTTCAGCTGAAGTTATATTAGGGAATGGTTTCACTTGTACTGGTCTGTAGTACTTGCATATGTTCTTTGGAGTGGTGTTACTCTGGGCAAAATAAGTATCTTGTGGAATGGAAGTACACGGCACAATTTTACTCACATTATTTTTTAAAACAGAATTGTTAACCCTGCAAAAGCTGAAATCTTTAGATAGGCATGGGGTGAGAAACCTGCTCCTTGGGAATGTCAAGGTCTTGTGCAGTTTCATTCTGCTTTCAATTTTATATTTAGAACAATACGTCTATATTTTTTTAAATGACCTTTTAGGTTCCTCTGGTTTACTCAGCAAAATTAGGAGCTCTTAGATATTTTAAGCTATTGCTTTAAAGACAATTATTTTTATAATCAGCATTTTCTAATTAGGAAAAAAAAACAAAATACCACAACCCAAAACATTTAAAATCTTTTCCAAGGAGAAGGGTGATAGTGTTTGGAGTAACTTTTCAAAAATAATGCAGAAATTACTTGGGGAAGTTTATTAGGAGTTAGTTGTAGTGCCATATAATAGAACTAACAAGTGAAAGATGATGTTAATTGTCAGTAACTTCCATTTGAGGAGGGGATGTTTACCTGTAAGAAGCAGGAAAAAAATGTTCTGATTAGCTACAAGGTTACTGGAAGCAAATGGATGAGAGAAAGGACATATTCAGTATTACTCCTATATTTAGAGGACAGTTTGATTTTACTGGCTGAAATCAAAGTGGATGCAAATGTTTAAGCACTTTTTTTTTTGCTTTGTTATTTATGTAGTTAAACTATAGTCATGCATTCTTTCATATGGTAATATACCATTATTAACCTGTTATTTTAGGAAGAGCCTTTTAAGTTGGTGAAGTGAGTGAACCAAAACTGGAGTAAGAAGTTGCATAGTGGAGAAGTGGGATTGTGTGCAACGTAATGGAGGAGGTGTGGCAGCTACGATTGCTGGTTTACACAGTGCAAAGGTGACCATTAAAAATGTTCATGTTCACAGGCAGGAAAGCCTTTCAAGCACCAGAAGTTTCTGTAGAATCCTGCAGATCATTTTGTTGATACTGGAACAGGTTTTGCTAATGCTGTGCAGCATGGCAATGGAGAATACCCACAGAAGCAGTCTGAGGAGATCTGCAGAATGTAAGAGCTCTCAGAGGTAACACTGGAGATGTGGGTATGTTAGCAGCTGTGTAGATGGCTGCGTCAGTGGCTGTGATGTGGACCTGAAGATGAGTTGTATCTTTTAGTTTCTGTTTTGTCCTGTGGGTCTGGTCTAATGACGGTATCCTTAAATCTTCTCTGTGTGATTTTCAAATGGGGACAGTGTGGCTTTACCTGCCTTTTCAAGTGTTTTGAGATACCAAGCTGAAAATCCCCATTCAAAAGTGAGATATTGTTTTGTAGATATCTGATATAGTGTAAAAAAAAAAAAAACCCATATGGTGGACCATTCTGTAGGCATGTTTCAGTGTCCATTTGATACCTGCTTAGCAAAACAAAATGAGACTGAAAGCCATTTTTATCACTGGTGAAATTGTTATTTTTCTTAGCTATAACAAAGGTTTGGAAACTTAAGAATAATTAAAACCCCTTCAAAACAATAATTGTCTCCCAAAACATTAATTAAGAATAATAAATAGGTTGCCTCAATATTTTCTGTTATAAGCTACTTCCACAAAGAAAAACACATGGTTCAGATAAAATTGTGCTAATATGTCATTCTATACAAAATGTATTACTTTAAAGTAAGCTATATTAAGCTAGTGCATTTGGTCTGCTTTCAGGCAGTCTGAATTGTTCTAGTCTGAGTAAAACTAAGTTTGGATATTTCAGACGGAGGCGGGGGGGGAAGTTCTTTTTTGTAACTATAAGGTGCCTAGGAAGTATTAACTGCCAGATGTAAAACTGAAAGTCTAGAGAAAACCAGCTACTGAAGACTGATTCTTTTTATATGGATCTTGCAAACAAACCAATTTGACATATCTGTGTAAACAAAAGCGTTGAAAGAAACAAACATACTTTGCTCCTTGTATCATACTGTGTTCTAAAACCCTTGCTACTTTTTGCCACAGTTCATTTATGCCTTCAGAAATATTTTTGAACGGGAAAGTATACTCTGAAATGTAGCTTGTACCATTTCCATTTCTTAACTTTGGGCTGTGAGCTTCACAACCTGATACATGCAGCTTTTAATGAAATTACATACAACAACGTCAAGCAACAATTTTTAGCTGTTCAGCAGTTACTGGGACAGAACATCAGCTGTGAGGCATTAAAAGGAGCAGTTAAAACAAGCAATTTAATCAAAAATTTAGGGATTATCTGAGGTGGGTGAGGAAATGTGTGTCTTTTGGCTTTCTTTTCAGTTTTGCTGAAAGAAGCTGTGATCACTTTTAAAAGCAGTTGGTCTCTAATCAGGTAGTCACAGTCTTAGTTTGTGATGTTTTTTTAAGAATAACATAGCTACCTCCTCCACTTCAGCTTTCAGTTCTGTCCATCAGCAGTCTGTTTCTGCATTTATAAACTTGACTTTCTGGCAGTTTTCCTACTGAAGACAGCAGGCTTGCTTTTGTATGTAAACATATGGCTCCAAGTGAGCACTGAAAATGTGCAGTTTCTCTTCTAAAGATACCAAATTAAAATAAACTTCAAAACCTCCTGTAACAGAACTAATTTTAAAACCATTGTTTAGATTTTCAGTTAACTTTTAAAAGAAAATTCAGGTTTTAGCACTTTGTTCTGAATCTTGAAAAGGGATGCTTTTTTACATGTGTTTGTGTTGAGCCCTTCATGAAGTGCTGGGCGTTTTAAGAACATCTGCTGTCTAAATCCAGTCACAGTGCAGGTCAGAGGTGGCTTTATTTGTCAAAAGCTTAAAATTTCACTATAAGACTGTCCATATTGCCAAATGTGCTTCTATTTTTTATGGGGATGAAACCAGATTATTATGCAAGATTTGAGCTTGCTTTTTTTTTTTAGTAAGAAAAGTTGTATGAAGACATTCTTGCAGTAAATGGCAAAGATGATGGTGATCTCTAGGGGTGTCAGAGCTCTCAGGGATAAATAAAGGTGCTATATAATGTCAGGAGGCAGATGTGACTGCTTGTGGGCTAGGTGCAAAATGCTTTTTAGAATCAAATCATATGAAGAGTCAGGAGAAAAACCTACAAACTGTAATAAATGCTTCTGCACTTTTGATTTCTTTCTTGGTTGCTCTGATGAGAGATTTTTTGGCCAGTTAATCTTTGCAGTCTTGGGCTAGCAGCTCTTCTCTAAGAATGTAAGTCAGAGCCCCATGCCTTGCAAAGTTGTCACTGACTCAGCAGGCGTAGCTGTAGGTTTGCCCTGTTCTGGGAAGCAGAAGATCCATGGTACACAGAGGAGTTTTGTGTAGCTTTTCTTCAGCTTGCACTGCAGTGCTTTCCTTTTTTTGCTGTCTCCATGAAGAGCATGAAAAAAAATTTGTGCCTTAGTATTGCTCTCATTGTGATAACTTTTGCTCAAGTGAAGGGTAAAAACTACAACTGCATGGTGCTATGGTTTGTATCTAGAAATACATTTAATTCAAAGCAGGTGAGCAAGGCAGAGTTCCTTTAATTTCTGTAGATGAAAAACTGCTCTAGGCAATCAACAACATTGGGGAAAAAAAGGTAAAGTAATAACAAATAAAAGCCAATTAAATGTGTATTAAAATGGAAACAATTCTTGACGTTTTGAGAAATGTATTTTTTGGCTCCGCTTATAATCTTGTGTACCTCTTTTTTTGAAGTGGATGACATTTGGAGCTGTTTTGTTTTGTTTTTTTCTTGTTGGAGCAGCTGTTAGAGTGGTGCATGTATTTCAGTGGCCTCTGGACCAAACTTGGGAACTGCAGCATTGTTTATCATACAAGCTAGCTGTGTCATAAGACCTCAGTTTTAATATCAGGATGGTTACTAAACCCCTGGACTTAAAAATAGTGAACTCAATACTAGATTTCAATAGTTAGTTCAAGTTATTGATTTAACGCTTCCATTGCTAAGAACTCTGTGCTTTAGAGTTTAGGGTTCAATACTGCAGAGTCATGCAAAGCCATAGTCCAGTCCTGCAAGATGAAAAATTCCTGCAGTTCTTCCTGATACTGTAGGAATTAAAATGGGCTTATTGCCAATGAAAGTTTGAGCCTTTAAAGCATGAATAATCATGTCTGCTTTAAATTTAAATACAGATTAAGAATGTAGCACGAATGTGCATGCATGAAGCTACAGCATTCAAAGGAAAAGTAGCTGAGATGGTTTGGAAGATTTTTGCTTGTGAATGTATGAAATGTTGGAAGTAGAGAGTGAGAATTTGAGGAATGGCTGATGGCATTTGGAAGAGGATTTGGAATGTTTTGTGTCCACGGTAGAGCTGCTAGAAAGGTTTGATTCAGATGATATGTTTTTCATGGCATGGTAGGGTAAGGGAATATATAGTCATAGGTGTTAGTTTTACTGGCTTTTTAAAATGCAGTTTTTGAAACTCCAAATATTTTTTTTCAGATGCTCTGTTATTTTTACATATCTTCCTTTCCAAATGTATTTAATACAGTCTGTCAGCTGACTTTCTGTTTACTTATTAAAGGTCAGAGTTTTCAAACCACAGTCTCTGGTTTTACATGTGCAAAATGCAGGGCAAAGAGGCATACATGCAATTTTGCAGTGATAATTTCTAATGGATTCAGGTTGGATGATTTTGAAGTTTAAATACTTTATGAACATAGCCAGGTGTTTACAGTAGGTGTGAATTGCACCAGGTTGAGGCTGGGCTGAAAA